AAAAAAAAAAAAAAAGAAAAAATTGCTAGTCTATTAAACTCGATCCGAAGGGAGAGAAATCTCACCGTGCTCCCATTGCGCCTTCTTCCTCTTGTGATAACTCCTGCGCCAGGGATGTCGCCAGGCCTTCCTCGCGACGAAAGATTTATCCGGCAAGAACGCGGCGAAACTCCCTTCAAGGGTGTCCGGATTTCCGCAAATCGCGTGCGCCGTATCGCAGTAATAACTGCACTTGCCGTGGAAGCAGATATTACCGGCGGGGCTGACGAAGAACGTCTTCAACAGCTCGCCGTCGGCGATCTGATAAATCTCTGTCGTTAGGTTCAACGTTCTGCCGGTGACTGGCATCGCCCTCCGGAATCCCAGTAGCCTGGAACAGCAAATTGTTCGATGAAGGCAAACTTTTCCACGCTCGTTCCCCTCTCGATTCTAAGAAACTGTACCGATAACGTTGATTTATCGGAGACCTTGTTTTTCACCGATCGTTCTTATTCTTTTCGTTTTTTTTTTTTTTTTTTTTTTCCTTTAAATAAAGAATCAGGACGGATGGAATATTCGATTACCTGTCCAGGTGAAACGCTGCGATCTCCGCCGTATGCCTCTCGAAATCCGTGAAGTAGAAATGATTCGGCAACGTTTGCTGCTCCCGTGGGAACCTGTTACATTGATAAATATAATTAATTGTAAATAGCTCAGGATTATATAGTAAATAGAATTTTCTTTTCTTTCTGATTCAAGTATGATGAGTTGTAAATCACAGCGGTGTACATCAAAGATATGAGAATTTTAAGTTAATCGTGTGGTTCATTTTTTTGTATAGTATGATCTCATTAGTTTAATTAAGTTGTAACTAGCCTCCGGATGTTTATGCATTTATGGAATATTTAAATATGCAAAGATATACAAAATATTTGCACTATCCAATGTAATATTTGCACAAAAATATGTTTGTTTGTTTATAAAAATATAAATTACACAACTAATAATAATAATAGTAATAACACATTCGTAGCTTGATTATAATTCTCTCTTTCTCTCTCTCTCATGATATGCTTTTATAATTTGGAAAGATATCATGAATTTCTTATAGATAAAAATAAAGCAGAACATTACTTTATGATAGCTCGATCCACTGATCTATTATGATTTTCAATCAAACATGACGTAGTGATATAATAAATTAAAAAACAGAAAAGTAACGATATAAATTCTGAATTTTCTTAAATAAAGTTGTAGTAGATAATTTGTTTCTTGAAAACTGATCATTAACTTTGTACTTACGAAATGGAATTAAGAGATCAACGAAAAGTAAAGTTGGTCAATTTGGCTATTCATGTATCTATCATTTTTTTTTTTTTGAGTTATTTTCAATTGTAAATACCTTTAATATTAGGACACCCTGTATTTTGATTTAAATCACAAATAAAAGAAATGTGTAAGTTATTTAGAAAACAAAATCTGGGTTAAGGCAAAAAATGAAAGTTAACATGAAATGACTAGAATGTACATATTTTCTCGTAAAAATGTTTTTCACGATTTTCCTGCTAGATCGTGGGACTCATGGGAAATTCCTTGTTTTCTTAGAAATATTTTCCCGTTCAAGGGCAATCGTCAAGACCCAATGAGAATACACAAGCCTCTCCATGTGAAAACAAGGAAGAGAAAGTAATTTCCACTTTCGTGACAATGTTAAATCATTCGCAAAGAAATCTTCTCATAATTGAACGTGACATTCTTTATTTCGTCCTCGTTTTCTATTTTCACCGGCTCGAAAGAATAGCGTATATTTATGATGAATAATTAAATGAATAAATCAACTCTTATCCGTTTCCAGTATCAATTTGACACATTTTTTTGTAAAAGTTATATCATTTACACGTATACTCAAAAATTTAGAACGTAGAATTTCAAGAGAAATAGTACTTTTTTTTAAATATAACTTTAAGTAAATATTTTATTCATATAAATTTTCTTACTATCTACTGAAAATTTTAATTGGTTATGTTTTAAGTTTAAAGTTATAATTATGATATTCTTATTTTTCAGACAAATGTAGAAAAAAATTTGTTTCGTCTAAAAAGAAAAAGATGTATTAAATTTTTGAGCGAGAATATAAGTATATACATATATTTACCTAATATCTATAGTATATATAGTGGCGGACAAAAGATATATACCTATTCGTTATTTATTCCAAATATTTATTCATTATTTTCGTTAAATATAATCGTACATTATTTGTCTTAAATTTTCTTCTATTTGCAACTATATTTATAACGTCTTCAATAACAAAACTTGTCAAAGCTGTAAATAATATTTGTTATAAAAAAAGAACCTGTGTGTCAATTTAACACATGTTATCAAGTTTCTTAACAGGCAATTTATTATTATTCGACAACTATGTATTGAATATATTAACTTCTCAAAAATATACATGAACGTGTGTTTAGAATCATAATGGAAAGAAATATACGTAAAGGGTGCAACATTATGTGAGGATCCAAAATAAATGACCATAATATCAGACAAAATTGGAAAAGATATCAGAAATCGAATAACTATGCTCGAGAATAAAATTATTATTGTTTACTGTTGAAAGAAGAATTTGTAAATTTAACTACTCTACTTTTCCAATACATTAATTTTTTCTAAAATTTTTAAATTTCGCAATTTAAATGGCGCTCGAGGTACGAAGGGAATTTCCATCTTGATTTCTGCGATCGTTCATGTACCTCGAAACATATTTTCCTCGTTCAAGGCCATAGCACGTGCAGCTATGCAATAGTTTCGAGTTGTCGGAACCCAGAAAGAGACTATTTCTCGGGAAAACATAACCCTACGGAGAGAAAGAAAAGGAACGTTTTTCTCTTCGTTTTTCTCCTCCTCGCCGGTTTCATCCGGAAAGTCGACGGTGATAAATAAAAAAAAAACCGTCCCCGGGGAATCCTTCTGGTACGTGTGCACCTTCTCTGGTAAAATATGGCGGAGGAACAAGAAGCACAGAATCCTTTTGATGTACATACTGACGTTGAACGAGTGCACGCTATCGAGGCTTCATGAGAATGTAAATAACGGGAAGAACTTGAAAGATGTTTGTTCGATTTTAAAATTGTTTGTTGAGATATAAGACTATTGTCTGTATGTGGACAATTCTAAATTATTGCAAATACAGGGTGGTTCGTAAGGGTAAAAAACAATTCTACAAGGAAAAATAAAACGAAATTGTGAAATAATAATAATAAATTCTTTCATGCGAGACTTTGAAAATTTAAGTACGTATATTTGAATTTGACAGTTTGATATATTTATAATTTGACAATTATATTTTCTTTATTTAAGAAAATAATCTTTTCATAATTGACTTGTTGTTAGTAAAGCCATTTCTGTATCATTTTTAACTATAAAGTATCTAATTTTTTGAACATTAAATTGCGTGTATTTAAGTATATTAAGAAAATTATCAATTTTTAACCGTGAATTATCTAATTTTTTTTAGCGTACATAGTTTTGAAGAGTTGTTGATGTTCTTGTTGTGATATCCTCATCACTTCTGCTTATTGTTTTAATATACAGAGAAAATTATATTTCACCAATATATTTCTTTTTATCTAATATTTTACATTTTGGACAATTCTTTAAGTAATTGTATTAGAAGTCCAGTGAAATAGCCTCCTCCATCTCCGAATTTAAATCCAGTGCACTTCTTTTTGTGGGAATACCTTAAAAATATTGTTTACTCTTCAACTATCCAACAATGTGACGAATACAAAATGCTTGTGAAGAAGTTAGAAGACATCCGGGAATCTTTGAAAGAGTGTATAATTCTCTAATACGAAGATATAAAGCATGCATAAAAATGAAAGGAGGACACGTAGAAAACCTTCTGTAATCGGAAAAAGAAGAAATTATAAGGTAAACTACTTAAATACAATATGATAGCTCTCGAAGAGATTTTTTTGGTTTCTGATTTTTGAAAGATAGGCAAATTAATTATACATAATGAAATGCAACATGCCAAACGTTATATACACCTGAGTGAAATACTACATAGCTTCTGGAATTATTGTATACATGGACTATACAATACTTGGGAAGTACAAAGGGAAGTATAACGTTACACCTGTTTAAGAGAACTACAATAGGAATAAATTATGTTCACATGAGCATCTCAGTGAAATCTTGTAGAATTATACTTGTTTATTTATTCTTATTCGCATTAAATTTAATTTAAATTGAATCATCAAATATTGTCTAATATATTAACCATTTTTAAAAGAAAGTTATTATATTTTCAAAATATTTTTTGTCGTTCAAAGTTTCGTTCGATCATGTAAAATAATTTGAAATAAGGAATTTTGTTATTAGTAAATATTCTGTTCGGCTCCACTGTAATCATTCAATATTGCCAGTGTTTTTTCAGTCGTCCGTAACAATAAATATTTATTGATTTAGTTTAGTACGTGCAATGTTTTTTTTGCAATCAAATTTTTCAACTTTAATTACTTAGCTCAGTAATATTTACTCTATGACTCTTTAGCTTTATTGCATATTGATGTACACTACCGTTCAAAATTATCTGGACACTTGTTTTTTTCAGCAAAATCTATATCAATAACATTATTTAGAATTACACATTGTCTCTAATATACTTAATATACATTAAAAGTTAAATATTTAGAAATAATTTTAATTTGCATTTTTATTAATTAGATCCATATGTTTTAATAAATTATAGAACAATAAATACGTGAATTTAAGTGTCTTGAGATATATAGAACAATAATGGCTAATATACCACAATAATTGCTAATATATTACAGGAATAGCTAATATACCACAATAATGGCTAACATGTCATAATAATGGCTAATATACTATATTTTAGCTTGTAATATGCCCAAGTATTAATGAGCCATTGTATTTCAATTACAGAATTATAAATGGAACTATAGTAATTTTGTTCTATCTAATCGTCACAACTTTCTTATACACTTGTTCCTCAATATCTTTTTTTACACAAGTTCCTTTTTTATGCGATTGTTTTTCTTCTACGTTTTCTTTTATTATTCCTAATTATTTTTTTGTCAGAAACAATAGTCTAACTTAGCTAAGTACGAAGAATACTTACAATTAATAACATAGGATTCTCGTTAATGTTAAAAACTATTGGTCTAAAAATTTATTGTAACATCAGGTACCATTTTTTAAGAAAACACTTCTGTCAAACAATTGCAAAAATGAAATCGCATCTTTTGATTATCCGCTCACACAAAGATAAGCTTCAAATTCGAATTCTGAAAAAGTTAAATGATTAATAATTAAGAAAAAATTTTCAATAACCCAAAAAGAACATGATCTTCAAATTTATGCAACACTTATTTCTAGTAGTTCTGTAAACGAAACTAAATATTTTATTGCTATAAAATATTGTTACAATAAAAATCTTTTTCATTTTCTTTTATAGTATTATTTATTTATTTCTGATATTTAAAATTTTTTTATCCATGATATTCATTTCATTTGAATCGTTCTAATATTTATAGAAATAGAGATACCGTCGACCACCATAGTAGTCAATGTGTTAAAAATTATGAAAATATTTTCAATCTCACGCATTTCACGAGGTCGAAATCATGAATAACTTTAAATAAAATTATGTTTAATCTTGATACTTGGGCAAATCTCTCGCATATTCAATATTCAAACTTTTACAAACTTTGAACTAAAATTCCAAGGAGAATACCGAAATACTTTAACTTCCCATTGTTGAAGTCCGAAGTTTTATCAATCTCTGATGCAAATAATTTCCACTAACCATTCACTGGACATTTAATTAAAATGATTTTTTATTTTTATTTGATAATTATGAACTATCATGTATAATTGCATTATAAATTTTGTTTTACATAATGATAGCATCTAGTGATTGTGAAATTAATTAACAAAGATTGAAGTTGATGATGGTAGTTTTCACGATATTGTAATTCCTTTATCGATAAATAACTAAGTTTTTACTCATTAATAAATTGTGAATCTTTATGCAAATTCATATATTTGTGATAAAATAAAATTTAAAATATAGCGGATACCAGAAACTAAAATTTCTAATGTTCGAGAAAATTAACATTAAATTAACATTAAAAATTAAAATTAAATCATGTAGCAAGAAATCTGAGCTCATTTTGAGGCTTCTACTTTCACAATCTTGGATTCATTTTTCACAAAAGTGTTTCTATATTATACAATAAGTGAGAAAACAAAGACATTACATTTCCTGGAAAATGCTATAAATTCAAACTTTCTCTTAAAAATTGTTTCCATGACTGAATTTGCCATAAATTTGAAGATTAAATCTTTCCCCTAAAACCTTGTTATACAATTCCTCTTCACCAAATTATTGAATTTGGAATATATCTGAAAATGATAAGAATTCGACTAAAATTTCTTGAATTTTGGTTTTTCTCCCAAATACTTAAAGTTCAATAAAAAAATCATATGGTAAGTTTTAAAGGGTTAATTGTGGTGGATTCAGTCATGAAAAAATTTATAACATTTTCGAGGAAAAAAACAGTATCATTTTCTCATTTATTACGCGCTTTAAAATGAGTCCAGATTCATCAATTTTTTAAACACTGAAAGTTCAGTGCAAGTTTGTGACAGACACTGTACAGATTTATTTTATTCTCGTAACGAATACTTTACTCTGAATAATTTGTACATTAGCACATTTATTCGCATAAAAGTATAAATGTTATTTATTCGTTAAGCACAAAAAAAAATCAACAATATAAAATAGAAATAAATTCATCGGATGTGATCTAAATTTTCATGCATTCTCACTTACTACCGATATTTTAACGTAAATATTCGCCAAATTTTTCATTACTTATCATATAGATCAGCGTTCCTCTACCTTTTCACTCTACGACCCAACATATTTATTTGGTTGTTTGTTCGCATTTATTTTCATGTTATACTTTTAAATATGTATTTTTATTTATTTTATATTTAATGAGAAAATAATAAGTGTTTATAGAGGATCTGAATGTAAAGAATATAAATACAATGATATACAACTTATTTGAAGCAATGTGATCGTTATAGTGTCCATAGAGTGAAATAAATCATTATTTAGATTGAATTTTTTAACTTTAATTTTATTTTGAAGGATCTGGTAGACTAGAGTTGCTATATATTATATAAATAAATAAAATTATGTATATCTGACAATAACATTTATTTATAAAATGTGCGATTTATAACAAACACTTTGTTTATAACAATTTCATTTTTCATTGCTCAGATTCAATTACGGGAAAGAAATAAAACTATCGATTTTAAATAAAACAGATTGGTTCAATTGTACAAAATTCATCAGTTGAAATTATACCGATTGAAACTTTACTAATTGAAAACTTAAATTCTGATAGAAAATAATATTTAATATTTAATAGCTTCGTTGCTTTTGTTTACAATTGCTAATTTTAATTCTTATTTCAATAAGATTATTTAATGATATATTGATTATTCAATTTATAGCGATCATTGTTAAAATTCGTACTCTATAACAAAATTAACGCGAATCGTGATTTATAGATTGAGAAACGCTGATGATGTAGATGAATTCTTAATCCAACGCTGTATCGAATATTTAACAGAAGGGGGAAAAGGAAAAAGAAAAACACCCTGGAAAGATTCTTCCTCTGATAAAATATTTACTTATGATCTTTGCTAGAGTTTAC